TTGAGAGAAAAAGAAAAGAAGTCCAGTTGCCGTGACTCAACCTCCAGACAATTCCACCTGGGTGCCGAAGAATCCTATGTCAATGTAGATTACTTCTCTCCACCTTCTCAAGATCTCATTCTAGGAAATTATTAGGAATGAGAAGGTATTAAAATCTTTAGCAGTTGAAGTATATAATGATCTTTTCATCGAAGTAGAAATCTGATGAGCCGTCCATGTTTTGTCTTCTCTCTGGCAGTAAGAGTGAGCCTAGCAGCTTCACCTTCCACTGCATGATCAGGGAATTAACCCTAACAAGGCTCAAGGATCCCTACGGAGGTGATCAACTGAACATGAACTGGACCACTGTTTGCCCTTTGAGGCAAAGCCAATCTTTGGAGATCTCTTCGGATATTGGCACTGGGTTTTCACATGGAAGGCCTCCCAAAGCAGCCAGTCCACCTCCTCTCTGGCCACAAATGGTTGAAGGGGAGGAGACCACTATTGGACCAAGCCATCCTGAAGTTCTATCAATGCTTTGTTGACCCCCACCTAGTCTTGCCCAATACCAAAACCTCATTCATTCATATGGTTTCTCCCCTGTTTGGATCCTTTATGATGGGAAATAAGTTCACTCCTAGTAGTAAAGCTCTTTCCGCACTCCATGCATTCATATGGCTTCTCCCCATGTGGATCCTTTTATGATGGGAAGTAAGTTTACTCCTAGTACGAAAGCTCTTTCCACACTCCATGCATTCATGTGGTTTCTCCCCTGTGTGGATCCTTTTATGGGAAGTAAGTTCACTCCTACTACGAAAGCTCTTTCCACACTCCATGCATTCATGTGGTTTCTCCCCTGTGTGGATCCTTTTATGGGAAGTAAGTTCACTCCTACTACGAAAGCTCTTTCCACACTCCATGCATTCATGTGGTTTCTCCCCTGTGTGGATCCTTTTATGGGAAGTAAGTTCACTCCTACTACGAAAGCTCTTTCCACACTCCATGCCCTTACATGGCTTCTCCCCAGTGTGGATTCTTTTATGATAGGTAGTAAGAGTACTGTTTTGACGAAAAGTCTTACCACATTCCAGGCATTTACATGGCTTCTCCCCTGGGTGGATTCTTTTATGGGAAGTGAGTTTACCGTTTTGAGTAAAAGTCTTTCCACACTCCGTGCATTCTTGTGGTTTCTCCTCTCTGGATCCTTTCATGTGAAGTAACTTGTCGGCTTGTTCTGAAAATCTTTCCACATTCCAAACATTTATATGGTTTTCCCCATGTGGATCCTTTTATGAGAAGTAAGGGACCCATTTTCACAGGAAAGAGTGAAAGTCCAATTGTGATTTTTTCTATTGTCTCTGCAGATAGAATCTTCTCCTTTGGGTTGGGTTGGAGAGTGTTCATTTACAACTAATTGCTCTTTTAATAGTCTTACAGTTTTTCCAGTATACTTTTCCTTTATTTTTCCTTGTTGGGCAAGAAAGCCTTGGGTCTCAGCATCCATGGAGGATACGCGTTCCTGATTCCAACTATTTGACTGGCTTCTCTCATGACTTTCTAGTTGCATCTCCAGTTCCTTGTCCATTCCGCCTCCATGCCTGATCACTTCGAATTTTTCACTGGGATCTTTATGCTCATAGCCATGATA